AAATTGGAAAAAGAAGAACAAATGAGGCCTAAGGTCAGCAGACGGAGGGACATAATAAAGATCAGAGAAGAAATAAATAAAACTGAGAAGAATAAAACAATAGAAAAAAAATCAATGAAACTAAGAGCTGGTTCTTTGAGAAAATAAACAAAATAGATAAGCCTCTAGCCAGACTTATTAAGAGTAAAAGAGAGTCAACACACAGCAACAGAATCAGAAACGAAAAAGGAAAAATCATGACAGACCCCACAGAAATACAAAGAATTATTAGAGAATACTATGAAAACCTATATGCTAACAAGCTGGAAAACCTAGGAGAAATGGACAACTTCCTAGAAAAATACAACCTTCCAAGACTGACCCAGAAAGAAACAGAAAATCTAAACAGACCAATTACCAGCAACAAAATTGAAGTGGTAATCAAAAAACTACCCAAGAACAAAACCCCCGGGCCAGATGGAGTCACCTCGGAATTTTATCAGACATACAGAGAAGACATAATACCCAGTCTCCTTAAAGTTTTCCAAAAAATAGAAGAGGAGGGAATACTCCCAAACTCATTCTATGAAGCCAACATCACCCTAATACCAAAACCAGTACAATCTTCCAGTAATAAAATAAGTAAGACATGGGGATGTAATGTACAGCATAAGAAATACATTCTGCAATATAATAATAACTTTTTATAATGAGAGGTGGTAACTAGACTTGTTTTAGTAACTATTTCTTAATGTTTATAAATATCAAATCACTATGTTGTGATTATACCTGAAACTAATATAATATTGTATTGCAGTTATTCTTCAGTTAAAAATAATCAAAAGAGGCAAAAAATAGAAATTTATTGGAAAAGAACAAGAGTTTGAGGTTGTGGATATTTCTCATTGGCAGAAAAGTAATGGCTAGTTAATGCACTGTTGCTGGGGCAAAGAGAGATCTTCCTTCTTTTTCTTAAAAGCAGGAGATGAAAGTCCTATTTGAAAAAATGTCCTCCGTTGTCAAGATAATTATTTTCTTCCTTCTTTCTGCTGGTCGTGTAAGCTGCAAGGAGTGGTACCTGACTGCCCCTTCATGGCTCTCTCACTCCATTTCAGAAAACGTTCCCTTTATTTATTTTCATAGGTTTTAATGTCAAAGGGAGAAGGTCTTAGAGATCTCCTGGGTGCGGCATAATGTGCACTTTTAGATTAATATTCTAGAGCAACTCGTTTCACAGAAGATTAGCGCAGAAAAAAGAGGGAAGTGTCATTAGGCTGAAGTTTAATTTTTCACTTATTGTTAGATCTAGATAAACCACTGCTTCTTTAAGGTACTAACGTTAGATAACAGTGTAAATGTTTCCACTGTGAGGGCTCAGTCCTAAGCATTCCATTTGCGTTTCCATCTCATTCTCTGACGGATTTCCATTTTACTGACGAGGAAACTGAGAAGCAGAAAGGTTAAATAACTTATCTAAAGTTATGCCACTAACAGTGTGAGAAACAGGTATATAACCCATGCCTTCCCACTACAAAGTCCTCGGAATAAAAAGAAAATCTATTTCACCTACAGTTCTGTCACCTCACCACAAAATAAAAATCACTGTTCAAAAAAATCCTTTAATAACACTATACATCAATTTCAAACTATTTTCCCCGAGTCTCTAACCGAAGCTTTAAATGAATGTTTTTATTAGACATGGACTGAGGAGAAAGCACTGGAAAATGTAGGAGGAAATTTCAGGTAAGTCCCCCAAACGGTGTTAAAAGGGGCTATGCAATGGCCCCTTCTTACACTGTTTCCCCCCAAATCATAAACGCTCTTCCTGACCGCCTGGTGTTGTATTTCATCCACCGGCAGGCCTTCCATTCCGGAGTACAGTGCGCGTAATTCCTGAGTTAGCATCCAACCCCCAGTGTACCGACCGCGGAGCGCGCCGAGCGGTTCAGATGACCCCTGGAAGCAGGGCAACTGGGAATTCAGTGCAACCAGCACGGTTGGCTTGATGCTGGTGAAGAAATCAGGCGGCACATCTGATGAGAATCGAGTTTGAGGGGCACGATCTGGGGGGCACAGCGCCCGCCCTAGGTGTGTCCGGGTCGGTCCCGGAACTGGTTAACGAACCCCGACTCCTGAGAAGTGCAGGGAGCGCCGGAGCTCGCTCGCAGGCCGGGGCCGCTGCCTGGGGGCGGCTGGGGGCCGCACGCTCCACCCCGGTCCCTCCTCCCGCTGCGCCGGGGGAGGAGAGGGTCGGGGCGAAGGCCCGCGCGGGGCGGACGGAGGACCACGCCCGCGCGCAGCCCACCCTCCCGCCGCCCCCGGCGCCGCCGCGGCGGGCAGAGCTCCGCGGTGCGGCCAGGGAGCAGCAGCTGGGGTTGGCGCGCTCGCGTTCCCGTGAGCAGCTCGCGGCAGCGCCGAGGTGAGGAGGGGCCCGGGGGAGAGGCGGGAGCCCGAGGAGGGGTGCGGGGCGAGTCCGGCCAGCGCCGGTCGGAGCCGCCCCGGAGGCGGGGATGCAGGAGCCGAGCCCCGCGAGGCGGTGGGGCAGCTGCAAGCACAGGGCCTCCTGGCCTTAGCTGCGCTCGCCGTCCGTGCAACCCTAGAATCTTCGCCGGGAGGGTGAGCGCATTCGAACCCAGTCCTTCCAAGTCTTTTCCCGAGCAAGCAGCCCTACAAAATCGGTGCAAAGAGGGAATCAGGCCGGGTGCGCTGCAAACACTGGGTGGTTTCTATCTACACGACTCCCTCTGGGACAAAACAAACGAACACATGCCTCCCTTTGGGAAGCAGTGTTTCTTCCGGAGCCCAGTTCTGAGTAGCCGTGGTATGTCCAAGATTATCAAAACAAGGCACTGCCTCCTCTGCTCTGCTGTCTCCACCATCCCGTGGCAACCCCCCGCCTGCCAGCTAAGATTGAGGATGCTCAGGTTGCTTTGTGTGTGTATGTGCGCATGTGTGGATGGATGGATGAATGGATAGATTTAAACTGCAGTAGAGTTGAAATACAATATTATATTGGTTTCAGTTATTCAACAGAGTCATTTGACAGTTACCTACATTATTAAATTCTCACCCCAACTAGTGCAGTTACGATCTGTCAACATAGATGTTACAGCGCTATTGACTATATTCTCTACGCTGTACTCTCATCCCTGTGGCTAATTTATATTATGATTGAGATTTTGTGCCTCTTTTTCCCCTTCACCTATTTCATCACCCAACCCGTTCCCGGTGGTAACCGCCAGTCACTTCTCAGTGCCTATGAATCTGTTTCTGTTTTGTTCATTTGTTTTGTTTTGCTTTTATAGATTCCACAAATAAGTGAAATCAGACGGTATTTATCTTTCTCCACCTGGCTTATTTCATTCAACATAATACACTTTAGGTCCATCCATGTTGTTGCAAATGGCAGGATTTCTTTAAGGCTTTTGAAAAGTCAAACAAAACTAGAAGAGAATATTATCTTCCCCACCATCCCCTGGATCCTCTAGTAGAAGCTGCTGTCTCCAAAAACAAAAAAGTCAGGCTTTCATTCAAGCCTGCGGTTCTTGGATGGCTGCAGAGGTGATGAAAACAGAAGGAAGGAGAGGTAGGTGTGTGGAAGTTTGTTGCTTTGCAGGACACGTGAGTTCAGGTTTGGGAGGGATTTGCATTAACAAACCAGTCTTGCACAAATTAACTTTGGCCAAAATCAGAATGTTGAGCTGGGAGACCGGTATATGCATAAGAGCTAGAAATGTATCACTTTAAATGCTGGCAATCCCAAAATGCTGCGGACCAAATCGTAGGCTGACATTGAACTCAGGGATCAGCGCATAAAGTATCGGCCTGATCCATAAGAAGGAGATGGCCTTCTGGCCACTACGAGGCACTGGGGGGGCTGCCAGCACCCAGACTGTGAGTTGCCAGCACCAGGGCAAATTTCCTCACAGGGAGTTTGGGTGGCCCTACAGAAGCTGGTGAGATCACCCACCAGCTTGGCATTTTCCAGCCTGCTGCTTCCACGCATTGTACGTGGGCACTGAGGGGTCTCTCCCTTCCCTGGACATTTGTTCAGGAGTTGCCACTGTAGACAGCCTGATGATGCTCTTCACTGAACTGGGGGCTGATACCATAATCTGTCACCACAGACTGTCACCAAATCTGTCACTGTCTGCAGAACCACTGAGAGTGAAAGAGTAGCAGTTGGGACAGATAATCTGGTTCAGCCACTTGTTTTACAGTTGAGAAATCCCTTCTGAGCTATGAAGGGCTTGCCCAACACCCCAGAGTGTTTCTGAGAACAGCCCTGTGCAGCTGGTCCCTCATTTCCTCTCCACTGCATGTCTGCGCCATTTGCACTGTGTTAGTGAGCAATACATATTCCCTCCCTCAGGTCTGTGGACAAATAAACTTACTTTCTTCTTTGAAGCTCCCAGCAAAGAACATTGAGAAAAGTGCTAAGTTACTTGAAGAACTGGAGTGGGGCCCCCCAGGGATATCAGCAGGCATTTAGTCATCATGTCCCTTTCCTGACACCCCCAGAAAATGGCTGTTTCCTGGAAGGGAAGGTGATCATCATCTTAAGCCTGATTTTTTTTTAAGACCTATGATAATCAGCCCAATGGACCTCTTCAGACATTGAGAAATTTCCATAAGAGAGAAGTATTGAAGAGCTAGTATTGAGTGAAGAGAAATTGAAGGGGAACATTTTGCTGTGTGTCCATCCATCATAGCAATATTAGAATTCCTGTATGTCAGCTGGTGTGTAACCAGCCCTTCTTTATCATTGTTGACAAATATCTTTAGATGCGGAATTTGCACTGGATGCATGGATGTTTCCAGTGGGTGATGAAGTATGTTCCAGAATACCTCAGCCCTTTTTTATCAGCTCGGAATGGTTCCAATACCCTGCTAATATCATCAAAATGAAAAAATGCTATTTACCTGGTAGAGAGAGAAAAATGATTGCAATCAGGTAAGTATTAGTAAGTGACATATTTCATCATCTGAAACAGAAACCTGAAACATGGATAAACATTGATCCCATTTGGTGGTCATTATAGAATCGTCAAATACGTGTTTAGACTTCCAGTAAGGGAGACCTTTAGATAACCTCAGGTTCTAATGCATTTAGGCTTGCTTTTTTAAAAGGCAAATGTTTTGAGTAGTGTTAATATATGTAGGTCATATATCGATAATTAGAATTTGCATTAGAATTCATGCAATTTTATCTAGACATAAGAAAAGGCCCACACATTTTGGGGGTGGGGGAGGAGGACGTATTCCATCACAAGGCTAGGCTAGGAATTCTTTTTAAAAAAAGGTCTACAATGTGTTTACCTGTTTACAAAGTGTGACTTTATAAATTCCCATAAGCTGTAACGGGGTCCCCGTGAGTTTGGCAATATGCATCATGGGCATGAAAATGAAATCTCAATAGGATTTTGAACTCAACGAAATACTCACAATGAAAAGCTAACATAGAGCCCATCCCTCTCCCACCTGAAACCGGGTTCATTTAGGAGGACAGAAGCAGTGGCAAGAAGGAAACACATGCCAGCAGAGGCAAGAGTGTGGGTTCAGAGAATGGGGGGGTCTTTTCCAACTGAGGTGGTCAGAAGAAGCTGCTTGGAAGATACGGGAACAGAACTGGATCTTCAACAGAGAGATGGTGAGGAAAGGTCCGGGTATTTTAGGTAAGAACTTCAATTAAGCTTATTTGTATGTGCAAGTCTATTTAATTCTAAGACAGAAATAATACAGAATGCCCAACCTTCCCTCAACAGTACTTCCTTACTAGGCTTTCACTCTCTTTGTTTCGTCCCTTCTCTGCTAGAAACCTTGAAAGAATAGCTTATTATTTCATATGTCATGCCCCTAATGCACTTCCGCTTTGACTCCTATGCTCTAGCTTGCTGAACCCCCACCAGTGTACCGAAACTGGCGCTACTGAGGATGTAAGAGGCCCAGCAGTGTACTTGCAATCGCAGCCTTTCTCTCTGCCTCCCTTCCACACTGTTGGCTATTTCTGGTTCTTTACCCCGGGCCGCCCCAGTCCTGCTCCTCCCATCATTCAGACTGCCCCCCTTTACCTCCCCCACTCTCTCCTCCTCAAGCCACTCCATGTTAGGGGCATCCGGGCTTCTGCCCTCAGCGCTCCCATGACCCTGACTCTATCTTCTTTATGCTTCTCACAATCACATTTTGACTGCAATGTGGAGAAGAGTGACTGGGAGTCAGGGGGCTCTGTTTTGAATACAGAAAATGAAAGGAATGGTGGTCTGCTTACAAGCAGCAGTGAAGAGGAAGAGTTGCCTGGGTGGGGCTGGAAAGATGTATTCTGATTTTGGAATGTGTTCGTTTGAGACGGGGAATCTGGTAGAGATGCCTGGTCACAAATTGGGCAAGTATAGAATTTGTATGTTACAGATGAAACCTTTGGAGTAGATGAGACAGCAAAGTGAGAAAAGAATTGGTGAGAACAGAACCTTGAGGAATGCCTACATTTACATGTAGGAGTAGAGGCAGTGGAGAAAAGAGCAGTTAGGGAAAGAACGGAGGGTGCAAACAAGGGAAGAGAAGGTCAAAGAAATAGAGGGGGAAAAAAAGTGAGAAAAAGTCAAGTGTTAAATATCCCAGAGATAGTGGAAAATGAGCACTAAAAAAGGCCATTCTATTTGGAGTTAGGCTGCTGGCAAATTTAAAGGGCAGAATGTGTAATATCATATATATGGTGCTTATAGTTTAATACAAAGAAAAGTGCTGATTTTTAAAAATCTACTTAATCTAAGGCTTAAATGCAAAGTTTTTTGCTTAGCATCAAATAAACATCAAAGGAGCAGGTTTCTGTAAGTCAGGGTCCCGTCACTGCATAACGCATTCCAGCTACTCAACTGAAAGTACTCTAGTCCACTAAAAAACTGGAATCATTTCTTCTAAACCCAAAATGGCAAGTAAGACAGGAATCTTTGAATTGTTAATCTAGAGAGGAAGATGAATATATACTCTGAGATCCCTAAATGAACAGCCTGTGACCCTCAAATACATCGAAGGAGGTCAGATCTATAAGTTTTGTTTCCTTGGTTTTCAGTCAACAGGCCAACCAGGCCAGTATTCATCCTGCACCCTAACTGTAAAAATAATTTTGTCAAACAATGTGATTTGTAAATGTCTCATTTCTCTTTCAGGGGTTCAGTCCATCAGAATTTTGCTGACTTTTGCCACTGGCAAAATCATTGGATACATATTCACATTAAAAGGAGAAATAGATTCAAAGGTAGCCATTGATCTTAGCAACAAAGCTTCATTAGCATTCTTACAAAAGGTTTTGGTAAGAAATTAACAATCTTTCAAGACAGTAAACCAGATGATTCTCAGGACAGCTGCTTATTTTAGTGTTACATTAATCCCATTTTAACTGTCTCTGGTTAGTTTACGATGTAACCTAGCAGTAAATCAGTTTGAAAACAACTGGAGTTTAATTTTGCTGCTTTGCATACTGTGTATCATAGACAGCACGTCTGCCTGTTAAAGAAAAGTCTTTGTCTGAAGACTGGGGTGGACGTCCATCCTGAGGACAGCACAGTGCCTCAATCCCATCTCATTCAAGGGCACCCGCTGAAGCCATGTGGCAGCTCTCATGGAACACCTTGCTTCCAAATTCACAATGCAGTTTGGGTAATTTGTGAAGCTATGCTGCCACCTAGAGGCACAGAACTGTATAATGTTCACAGAAGTGTAACGTGTTTAAAACATTTACATTTTACAGAACTTCAGAAAGACTTTGATCGGTGGGATTCTTTGATTGAAGGGGAAGATGATAATCTTATTCCAGGGACCAATATTGACACAATCAACCAATATGTCAGTCTACAGAATTCTACAAGAATAGAGAAATACAATTTAGACTAAAAGTACTTTTTTAAAGTCTTGTTTAGAGACTAAAAGTGTGTGTGTGTGTGTGTATGTATGATTTTAATGTTTCTTTCTCAAATAACTCATACTAAAAAGTGTAGGCTATGCCATAATAATGATTGAAGCTTAGACTAAGATTCTTTTTTCATTTAAATGTGAAGAAATACTGCTGTATATAAAAATCAGAACCAGCCTAAATTTTAATTTTACTAAAATAATCCTTTTTAGTGTCAAAATTAATAACTGCTTTTATATTACTCTAATCGAAAAGTATATTAACACAAGCACAATGCCAAAGAAAACATGATGATGAAATAACACTCCCTAAAAATACAATAAAAACAGATTTCTTGCCTCTTTTTTCTGTAGAATTGAGTTTTAGCAACATAGTATTCTAGGTAGAGTTTGGCAGTACTTCCCTCTGACTCTTGGTCATGCTAAGAAAATTAGATCAAGCAGATAATAAAGCCATTGTTTTACGACAGGATTAGTGATTCTGTACAATTTCAATATGATGACTAAATGGGGAGCAGATAAAGGAAAGAATATTGGAGACAAAGCAAAGGCAGACGATTAAAGTGGATTAAAAACAGTTGAAAATTTCTGGGAATTGCATTCCTAGGAATTTACACAAAGAAAACAACTTCTCAGATTCAAAAAGACATATGCACCCCTATGTTTATCGCAGCACTATTTATAATAGCCAAGATGTGGAAGCAACCTAAGTGTCCATCAGTAGATAAATGGATAAAGATGTGGTACATATACACAATGGAATACTCTTCAGCCATAAGAAAGAAACAAATCCTACCATTTGCAACAACATGAGTGGAGCTAGAGGGTGTTACGCTTGGTGAAGTGAGTCAGGTGGAGAAGAACAAATACCAAATGATTTCTCTCGTTTGTGGAGTATAACAACGAAGCAAAGCTGAACGAGCAGAATAGCAGCGGACTCACAGACCCCAAGAAAGGACTAGCAGTTACCAAAGGGGAGGGGTGGGGGAGAGGGGGAGAAGGGGATTGTGGGGTCTCATGATTGGTGCACATGGTGTGTGTGGGGTCACCGGGAAAAAAGTGTAGCTCAGATAAGACAAATAAGGACTCTGTGGCATCTTACTGTGGACAGTGACTGCAGTGGGGTATGGGGGGGGACTCGATAATAAGGGTGAATATAATAACCACATTGTTTTTCTTGTGAAACCTTCATAAGAGTGTATATGAATGATACCTTAATAAAAAAAAACAGTTGGAAATTTGTTTACAGTCACTTTAATGCTTTATCTGACAGATTCTACTTACAAAAGGAAGTAAGACAGCCAGAGATTCCAACTAAAACACATTAGTTATTCACCCAAAGGCCATGAAGGATAACAAAGGAAACATTCAGAATTACTTTTAGACTGCTTTATATTTTTTTGTTGTTTGTTTCCCAAGGGGTACAAAAATGTATGCCACTCATTAGCTGAGTATATTTTAGTTTAAGTATGGTCTTGTTTCTATGAATTCTCCATAATTAAGCTTGATTTACCATGTGTGAAGAGGGTTAGTCAGTAAGCAAACCTGGTTAAGTATAACTATTCCACCCCTAACCCTTTTGCCTTTAATAAGTAATTGTGTATTCCAATTTGGCATTTCAGGCCTGTCTTAACGTTTTGAGGTAGAAAATCACTCATATGAGATATCTGATATCCTATCCTCTAGCTACTCAGATTAAAAATTTTTAAATAGAGACTTAAACTCCTTAGCACAGAACCGAGGACTTTTTCTGTAGTCTGGCCCTAACACCTTCTCTGACATTTCCTCCCAGTAATTCACAACTCTGTCTGCTGCACGAATGAACCAAATTTATTCATTATCCCAGGGACAAGCAATAAACTCGTCTCCCTCAACTGTGTTTGATTCAAATCTTCCTTCTACTTGTTGAAACTATACCCAGTTTTTAAGCTCTTATTCTCACTATCCCCATCAGGCTTCGGGGGCTGTTAATGTTCCCTGTGCATACGCCTGTCCCCACTGTCATACAGCAAACCATCTGATTCACTTTAGAAATGGGTAGCCCTTCCGGTTGCCTTCGTGTATCATCCCATAGCACCCCCCTTAAGATCCTTTGTTGGTGGTACATGAAGATGATGACAGGAGAAAATAAGTGCTGGAAGGATCCAATGAGTTCAAGTTAAAAACTAACCTAACACACCATTGCTGAGTATCTTTCTGGGGAAGAAGGAAATATTTATTGAATATCTTCCCCTTTCCAAGCACCTTACATAAATTATGTCTAATCTTAGAAACACTGCAAGAAACATCTTATTATTCCCATTTTACAGGTATGGAAGATCAGATAAAGCTTGAAGATGTTACATAACCTGCCCAGGTCACATATCTTGTAAGCTACATATTGCTAGAATCTGTTTCCTAAAGCCAGCATCTATACTTTGCATACTCCCATCTATACAATGCTATATTTTAAAGGCATGGACTTTAAAGTTAGATAGATCTGGATTTGATCAAGCCTCTGAGACTCACTAGGTCTTTGACATTAGGCAAGTTATTTAACTTCGTTAAAAAGCTTTAATTTTCTCTGAGATCTAATCTGTGCATGTTAGAGTCAAGGATTAGATGAGAACATGCATTTAAAGTACCAGTGAGTGACTAACCCATAAGAGTTAACATTTAATATTACTATTTCCCCCCATTATAGACCTGTGATTCCATTACTACAGATATTCCAACACCAGATATTCCAGAATCCTATTTCCTTTTTAATGAAATGAGACCACCAGACCTTTAAGGATAACTTTTATTCAAATCTTGCATCACATTAGAATACTTCCAAATTCAAACATATTAGTCAAATGCTTAACTAAACAAACAAGTCAAAGTTGCAAAAACAGAACAAAATATTCTGAAGGAGTTACTACGAACAAAAAGTCATCCTCCTAAGTAGCATCGTATAATAGTTATAAACCTATCATTTTACATTTAAAACACTTTATTCAAAGGAAACGAAAGTAGTTTTTAAATGTTAATAATATGTTAGCAAGTTGTTGAGCAAAAAAAATCCTCCCAACTTATTAGAAACATAACACATTTAAAGAGAAAAGGAGGATCCCAGATCCACATGTACAGCAATACCCTTATAAATACACAGCACAGTCATTTGAGAGCTGTTTTTGTTTTTGACACATCAAAATTTTAAAAAATGACAACTTCTTGTGATTACATGCTCTCAGTTTTCTCAAATACTCTGTTGGTATGGATAAGAGTCCACTTGATTAAGAGCAGTTTCTCACCGGCCACATCTATTGCTCCACTGTTAAATCTCCATCACCTTCAGACCCCTTTTCTGAAACAAGAAGAGAAAAACCTCAAATTGAGAAAGAAACATGAAAAGAAACAAACAAAAATATCTACATGGGTGACACCAAAAAAATTTGATTGGGAAAAATTTGAAATTATTAAATTTTAAGCAAATAAAAAATGGGAAGAAAGGACATATGAGCATTCTAATTATTGTAGAGAATTATTCCTACAGAAATGTTTTTTCTCTTCTTAGTATTTTGGTTCTCACACTCTACCTACTATCAAGCAAAGTTTTTCTAAAAGATTATGAAATTGGCATATGTTGTATTTTGCTAGAATGACGTAAACAAGGCTAATAACTAATTAGTCCTTGTTCTCTGAGCATGTATATTTTTCACATACGGCAAAAGACACCAAGAGCCGACTGCATCCACAATGTACCTTAATTCTAAGAACAAGTGTGTTATTTATGTACGTGACTATGCCATAACCAGGTTGTTGCAACAAACTGAATTTTATGTAGATAAACTAAAAATCCCAAAAAAATCCCAAGACATCCTTTAGCATGCAAAGATTGTTTGAATACTTGAACTAATTAACAGTGAGAACATGCTATAATGTATGAATTTATCAGATTCGCAATCTAATTTTCAAGATGAATTTGCTCAACAAACAAATTTCCTATGATATTTTAAGAAACCCTCTTCTTGGTTATTTCTCCCCATAAGCACATTTCACATTTCCAGCTAAAGGGTTTCATTTTTTTCTTTTCTACAACTAACACTCAAGGACACTGATAAGCCATTTTGTTTGAGGATTCAGGGTAATGATATCTTTAAGACTTGACAATCTGGATGATAAAAGCATTTTAAAAACACAAGTTACCTTTAAGGGCAGTACGATCCAATGACATGAGGTAAAGATCTTTTCCCATTGTTTGGAATCCAATCTGACAAAAGAAACCTCTGAATTAATACCAATTTTTTTATTATAGACACAAAATAATCAAAATATGAAAATATGAATCAGAAAAATGGTAAACAACAAAAAACTAATTCTTTAAAAGTAGGGCAAACTGATTTCATAGTGAGGAATCACTTCAAGTACATTTTTTATTTTTCAAATATTCATTTCTCTGGAACATCTCCACTGGAGCATTCCACACAGGGAGTAAATAAGGTATGTTTTTCCAATTTTAAGATCCCTATAATCCACAACTTTGGTGTTTGGTGCATTGATTACGGAGATGCTACTCAAACATATTAACCATGGTGAGCCACAGATACTTTATTAAAGACTTAATAAAGGATATTTCTCCTGTATTCCATTCAACAACAAATAGCACTGTGTGCATGCATGATGACTATACAGAAATTAATTCATGAGACATATTCTTATGGTGAAATGAAATAGCTTAAATGAAAAAAAAATTTTTTTAAATGTAGTCAGACTTCCAGATCATAGTGACTTGATGTATCACAAAAATGAGTCATGTGCAATTTAATACCTCATGATATTCACTTTTTAAGGAAAACCATTTTATTTGTGGACAGGCGTATCTCTCTTCAAATTTGAGAAAAGCATCATTTAAATCTCATTAACAAACAAATCAAAACATATAAAGCCTTACCGATACTAGTTTCTATAGGTGCTACTTTGTGGTTAGTTAAAGCCAGAGGTAGTTGTGTCTATATTATTTTATGAACACTTTCAATCATTTAAATGGTTCTGTTCTACTTGGCAGGTATAGGGCAGTTTATCCAAACAGAAACTTGTTGTGTAGATCTGTGTATTTGGTTGTCATTCTTGAAAATTAATGGATGGCAAAGATCAGAATGTAAAAGAAAGTTTTAGTAAATACTGATGCACCTTAAATGAAGCAGGCTGTTGTTTTTGACAAGTACACAAAAAATGAAATTAACCTAAGGCAAAGAAAGATGTTCAATGATTCGTCATAGTGAAAAATTTCAAATGATCTAAATGTCCATTACTAGGAGAAATGGTTTAATAAATTATTGACCATTAATGTCATGCAATGTTATATACATCTGTGGCCTTCTGGCTGCAGCCAAATAGAATAAGCTGACTATAGCCTCTCTCTTACACTGAATACAACTAAAACATCTAGGAAGAATACACAAAGCAACTATCTGCAGAGTTTGAAAAGTAAACAGGAACAGACAGATG